TATTGCTTGTATGCAACTTGATTGCTTAATTATTTAATCATGCTAAAGTACTGAGTCATGTAGGTTCGATATGAATTAGCACATGAAATATGGTTTAAGCATGGTCGAGTCAATTTTATCATCTTTTATATTGTGTTTGACGAAAGTAGTTTCTATCGAAAATCACAGTCAAGTGATAGTGCTATCGAGATTGAAATGAAATGTTGGTCGATTTCGAGGGGTACAAAATGCTATGTAGTTAGTACCATAAATCGAAAGGAAAACACCACTATGACAGAAGAATCTGGCCATATTCTTTGAAAAAAGGCTGTGTGACATGATTTGATTGGGTGGAAAAACTGTGTTTTAAACAGTTTAATGATGAAATGTAATCTGACATTATATCAAATGTTATGTCAATGTAGGATGATTCGAATTAAAACTTCTTAGTGGCATGATTCAAATTGAAGCTTCTTAGTGGGACATATCGAAGAGTCAAATAAATCATGCTGCTATGATTATTTTGCAAAGTGTCCCAAATCATAACGCGATTAAGCAACAAAGGTCAATGTAATCACGACTCATGTTAACCATCAAAATTGTTGATTGTCAACTGTCTTTACTCTGATTGGCCAGTGAAAATTCAACATGCCCAAAAACCTATCATGGGCTGTGGGGCCCTTGAATCAAAATCTTACAAAAACAGTCCACTAGTGTGGGGGTTGGGACCATGAGTAGGTGAGGCAGCGCAGCATTGAATAAAACCAGACAGTATGAAAATTCAGATATAATTTTATACTCTCTTTTTTTTTCTTGTCTTTTATTCTTAACAAAATGTGGAATTTTGGGACTCAAACTGACAGCGAAACACAGTCATCTGTGGAACCCACAAATTTTCTGGTTCCTGTCTTTAAAATGAGACAGTTTCCATAGTGTTTGACAGCAAAGAAATCTTGTCGAGCATAAAACAAGGTAACGTTTTGTCTTTCTTTTTAAAAAATTCGGCTCAACTCAATAAAGCGCTTGCAAGAACCATGCTTTTAGAGTGAAATTTGAAATAACGATTTGAATATCTAAAGATGATTGTGCTTTTTCACTCTAGAGTTCTATATTTCTGCATTGGGACTTGGCTGGAACAAAGGGTCGCGATGAATCGGCCTACATTTTCTGCAGAAAGCAAAGTCGAAGCTTGTTGACACTGTTCATGGTTCGGCTTTCAAGGCAATCCAAAAGGATTTTTTTTTTCCTGAAATGCAAAACATGTAAGCAAGATTCATTAACTTTTGTTGATAAACTAAGCTTACAAGGGATTATCTGTTCTGTTACTGTAAAAAAAAAAATGATTCTTCTGATGAAATGATTTCTGAGAAGCAATTTTGGTGAGATTTGTTCTGTTCTTGCAAATATATGTATTAAGGTTTAGCCAAGTGACTACACCCACCTTTGGTGGTGCGAGGGTAAACTTACTTTTTAAGTTACTTTTTTTATAAAAATGAGTAATGAATTAATGTATTTTAGAGCTTGTTTGTCTCCCATTATGAGAGAAAGAATGATATTTTGAATAGTATTTTTTGGAGAATGTATAGTTAAAATTAAAAAAAAAATTATTGGTTTATGTGTAGAATATTTTATTATTTGAATGTGTGGTGAAGATTGATTACTGTAGAAAATAATGTTTTGAAAAATGGTAGACAAAAAGGGGCTTAAAAGAATGTGTGTCAAACAG